CACTCTGTTTGTTACTACTTAAGTGCTTTTACCCTGGTTGTTTTTCTGCATTTGGTTTTAATTTCTGTGTTTTTCTGGCATCACAGTGTGCATTGATATGTGCCTTAATCAGAATATGTTGGGGCATTTAATAAAATCTGTTTATGAGGCCGGAGCTTTTCAGTATAATGAAGCTATTAGATGATACCAGTAAAAATGGTCGTGATTAGTGTTTAGTTGAGCAGCTGCCAACCAGTCAATCTAGGATCTGACAATTCTTCGCTGTGTAGGCAAACTGCCACTCCATACTTGGATATAAATTTCCTATTAATAATCCGCCCACAGTCATTTTCATATCAGACAGATTGTAGATACTGTTTTCTTTGTAGGTATAAATATGTGAGCAGGACAATCACGCAGCCTTGGACTTGTGCATCCTTTATTCTGGGAGTTCTTTGAAATGCAACACTTTCAGCTAAATATTACAGGACTGCGTTTTTCTTTTCAGCTGCAAGAAGGCCACGAGAAGGTGGCGGAGCAGATCAGCAGGGACGTAAGCCAGCTCTGCTTCCAGCTGGCTGCTCTGTGGAGCTGCTTCCTGGAGGCCGCTGTGTTCAACCCCCACATCCTGTCCTATCTGGCCCAGGAGCACCACACGCTCAGGGTGAGAGTTCAGCTCCATCAAAGGCAGGCTTATACAATGTTCAAACGTCATCATTTGCCTCTCTGAGGTGCAGAGCCTTTATTAGGCCCTGGTGCCGATATGTTCAAATATAGTGATTGTGATCCACCCACGCTAAAATGCAAGAATACCACAGAACAATAAAACATGTTTCATAAGCATTGACATTTTATCTCTGAAAGCAGCTCCTTAAAGGCATGTTGTCACCAGTTTTCAGAAAGTAACATGATACTGAACAACAGTCTGTCTAAGAAGAATCAAACTAACTTTCACATTGATGAGGAAAAACATGTCACAAACAAGTTAAGCCCAATCAAGCATCAATAACTGTTATGCACTAAAAAAGTTCAGATGATTACCTATAGAAAGTACCGTTAAATTTGTCCATCATGAAGGTAGTTTGGATACAGCGTTTTCACAGGACTCAATGCGCACTCGTGAAAAATGAAGTACAGCCTTATTGCTTCCAATTTGGAGGTTAAGTAGGAGCCAGGTGCTATTGATTAAGTGATCGTCCCAAAAAGGACTGACCTCTGTAAAAGCAGAGGTGACACAGTCCTCCCAGGGGTGGACATCCCAGCAAATTCATCCCAAGATTACCTCAAGCAAAGCTCAGAGATATTACAAAAATTACTTTTTAGGAAGAGCTGCCAGGAGCAAACCTCAAGACTTGAAAAATCCATCAATCAGATCAGACCTTCTGCCTACTGTTTATCTTCTTCTTCTTCTACTACCAATACTGGCTGCTCTCTGTTCACTGATCATCACCTACATCCTTAACCTTCAACACCTTCTTCCCAGATATCTGGCAACTCTTCCCTACCACCCAGGATCCGTTTTTGTGCTTTGCTCCTTCTTCAACTTCCAATATTTAATCCCTGTTCCTGCCTTCACTTGCTTCCTTTTCTTGACTTCCAAAGTCAACCTGCACCCTACCAACACAGTGTTGTAAAGATGAGTGGGCCAAAAATCCCCCCACAGTGATGTTAGAATCTAATAAAGTCATAGAGAAAGTGATTACTTCACATTCCTGCTAGTAAAGATGGTTTGTATAAGCTACTGAATGAGGTGTACTTAGTTTTTCACAGGAGTGCATAAAGTTCTGTAAAAAGAATATACATGCTACTGTCTCCTTAAAGTTTGGTATTGGAAATACATCTGATCCCATGACATCAATGTCTGTTTAATTACATGAAGATAATAAGATACCAGAGGCAGCCAAGTCAGTCTTTAAAAGGGGAGCTTTGTTCTCAATTCCAGCTCTGCATATTTATTCTTGGATTCTTCTAGAGTAACTGCACATGATTTAAATTTATTATTATATATCCATACTGACCCTCAGTTCATCCTCTGTCTAAATAAGCCTTATAAGCTCTCCCTCCCCTGCCCTTAAGCCTAGTTGACTTTTTCAAACAGAAGATTTGATCGCAGGTGGGTAAGGAGCATGAAAAGTCTGTGCTTAGCTTACTGACAGGGCTGAACTGGGACAAAAAAATCTGCCCGGGCATTTTGACTAGAGACAAGATATTATAGGAAAAGCCATAAAGCCTTTGAATGGAAATAAACGCTGTTGTGACAGTGATATGCACTGTCTTGTTGGTATATGTATGATTTCTATACAT